AACGGCCGCACGTCACCGCTCCCACAACTCCCCCTGAACCCAACCCACACCCACACCCGACTCCCCTTTTCTTGGTACTGCCGTCGGCTACAAGTGTTGCAAAGAATGTTGTGATTCAATTGCAGCGGTGGATGCTTGTCGGCTGTGGACTGTGTTGGCCGCGTGCTGGGACTGTGGAAAGCGCACGTTAGGACGGGCACAATCACGTGGTGTGACCATGGGTGTCGCGCGCTCCGATGGTGGGGGCGACCACAATACTGATTGACCAACCGGATCCTGCAACCGCGACGCCACTTGCTGAAACCAGTCGTTGGAGATGTTGCAACTAGCCAGCAGAAGCTGCAAGTGCACGCCGAGTCGCCGACGGTGTGGTGGCAAGAAGGTCTGAACCGTGATGGCAGATGTCGATATACCTGCGCGTGTTGTTGATTGATCCCGCACACGGGCATGCTGCAACCAACCTATGGGAACCTTATGGAACAAGTGAGATGTAATGAAAATCCGGCGTGTTTTCATGAATTCCGTCCAGTTTGCTGAACATGAGTTTGAAATGTATGTGGCTACAATAGGATGACGGCCTCCCGCATCCGTGTCCGCAGACGGTTGCGGCTTGTTATTGAAGATGTCGTAACTACCACAGACGTAGCAGACCTATCTCTAAACCCAGACCCCCTTGTATCTATATAAACAAAGGTGTAGGTCTCGTAGTCTACAATAAAACAAATAAAGTAATCTCCGTGGAGAAAAGGAGATGAGTATTTGCAGACAAAGGCTCACTTGTGAAGGGACTGTAGAAGCAGCCACCGGGCACCTTAGGATTGCCATAGGCTCCTAGCGGGCACCTGCAGTCAAACGACCCCATCGTATTGATGCATTTACCGTAGCATTGTGTATTGTGTAGTGGATCGTCGCACTCGTTGATATCTGTGTATGTATTACCAACGAACACATATATTTAGAATTAAGTGCAGATCCGAGAACCCCAAAAACAGAAGGAGAAGAAGAAGAACCTTTGCATCCATTTGGGACGTAGGGATTGCCTGTGAAACCACTCTTGCAGGAGCACACATATCCTCCTCTTGTACCCCTTGAGCAGTCGCTGTGTTTGCTCTTGCAGACACTGAGAGCTGCGGCCCTGGAGCACTCAAGGGGATTCCTGTCTCTACCTGCTCCACTGGTGAGGATCTCCCAATCCAGCTTAAAGGAAACTTGTGTTTCCATCAGTATTTGTAACGGTTCACGCGAGGCAAACCACCCCTGTTTGGTGACGAACACACCTGGAGGCCACTTGCTGTCGGCGGTCTGGTTCCATCCGAAATAGGTGAGTTCCACGTCATAGGACGTGATGTTCACAAGCTTATTTCCAGCATCCACCTTGCGGTTTATGACGATGGGCGCTTGGCAGCAGCCCAAACCAGAGCACGACTCTGCAGTAAACGGTGCATCACCGTCTACACACAATGATGTACAGCTGCTCATGGTGATGTTGCCATTCTTCAGAGTGGCCTGCACGTTGCAACCCACGAGGGTAAGCTCGTTGTTGACTGGGTTGCTACTCAGCGAGTAAGGTCCGTCGTCGCCAAGCCCGCCACCGAGCGAGCCCCTCCACCCTGCGTCGATTTGTATGTCCCCCGGGCTGCGGAGGACATACACCATTGGCAGAGATAGGTGTATGGATTCAACCTGAAGCGTGCCGTCGCCTAGGAGGAGCCGTGCGGGCTCCATCGCGAAGTCGCAGGTGAGGTTGAACCCCGGCCGGTAGCACCTGGCCGGGCCCATGCCGAATGGGTACGGCACCTCCATGTCGCCGCACCTGGTCTCGCAGCCCGGCATACCTATTATGGGATCCGGAGATGGAGGCGAAGCCGCTGCCGCAGCAGAAAGCGGCAGCAGTAGTATCAGGCCCGACGCCGAGATGGTCAGTAGTAGTGCTGCCGCCGAGAGTGATGCCATGCTTGTGTAGTGGTGCGCAATTGCATTCATGTAGGGAGCGGGCCTGCACTAGGGTATATATATAGCTGGCTATTGTTCCCGTGTGACACTCCGTCCGGCCAGCTGGTTGGGCACATTATTGATCCATCCATCGAATCAGTAAGAAATTATTACCTCTTTTGGTTAATTTGTGGATGCACACCTTTTTTTTACAAAGGATGAAATTTATTGATACAAACTGAAGCAGCGAGAAAATACATTACACAATGAGCACACACCCAGCCATGGTATTAAATAGCGCGCTATAGCATTCACATGAGGTCCTATGCTAAGCGTCTTTGTCCAAACACAAGAGCAAACATTTTAAATTGCGCGCTATAGCACACTATAGCATTTAGAAGTGTTCCGCTACTAAGAGGCTTAGCACGTTATTTAAAACTTTGCGCCCAGCCTCTGCATAATTAGATTGCACATAACCAACACCAACACACACTTGCGGCGAAAAAAAATAAAAAAGTAGTAAAGCAATTAGATCTACAATTGGTAAAATACAGCAACACCCAATCTGCACCAATCACCTCATGATACCACATGAACGACGAGGTTTTTAAATAGCAACGCCTTCAGGAAGCTAGCGACACTCAAGCACCACCATCACCGGATCAAACCACGAGGCAAGAATCTAGATTTTCATCCTGATAACTCAGTCCGAGCATATCCGAGCAATGCCTTCAACAAGCTAATGATGTAAAAGAACATTGCCATTGCCATGAGACCGGGTGCTCGAGTAGCACCACCGTCGAACTCTCTCATGTGTTGTCGCCGTGACTTTTCCGTAATCCCAACAGTTACATGTGAATCAACTGCCGCCATAGCACAACCATCCCTCTGCATCAAGCCTTAGTCCATAATTTGTATCTCATCGACGAAGTCAATCATCGAATCAAGAGTGATGAACCCTCATGAAGATCTTTTGACGAACACCGGCGCCATGGAGTCGTAGGAAGTTGCTGCAGCACTTTGCAGTCACCACTATTCGTCCATTCAGATCTAAATAACCACCACCAAGCCATAGACCGTATTGTCGCTGTCGGCCAACACCTCACTGCCGTGGTCCGATAGAGAGCCTGCTGAACGTCGGGCCCACGGTGCAAAATCCGACTGGATCTGACCGGAGACTAGTGCACACACAATAATCCCCCACGACCTCTGCAAGCTTGACGGCCCGCCATGGCAGGAGCCCGCTGCACCGAGCACCAACCGCCTCACCAGCTCTGCCGGGCCGCCGCCACTTTTGCAAGCATGCAACCACGCTGCCCCTAGCCGGCGTTCCCTGTAGCACTCCATGAAGGGCATCAAGTTTTCCCTGTAGCGCTCTGCAGTTTTTACCACGGCCTACAAATGCCCTATGGAAACATCATGCCAAGTTTCATCCGTTTTCGAGCTCATTTGCACTTTATAGGGAACCAAAGAGCGTTTTTCCCTTTTTAATGGTCGGAAAATCAGTTAATGCTTTAGAAATATAAAACCAATTTAAAAAGCAACCAAATTTGAGCATGGGACTTGCAATTGTGTGTATTAAACATAGAAAATGTTGAAGTTGTTATATTGTAAAAATGGATTATGTGTGATAGGTGATGGTATCTGTTCGAAACCCTGGCACTTCTCCATGGAGTGATCTGTTTGTGAATGAAGTGCATCAAGTTTTCCTTGTAACGCTCAGCTTTTTTACAATGCCTTACAGGCACCCTATGAAGACACCATGAAATTTTTCATCCATTATTGAGTACCTTTGCACTTTATGTGGAACAGAATAGCATTTTGCCCCTTTTAATGGTCGGGACGTCAGCAAATGCTTAAAAAATAGCAAACCAACTAAAAAAGTTGTCAAATGTGATCATGAGACTTGTAATGGTGTGTATTAAACAGAGAAAATTGTTGAAATTGAAATGATGTAAACAAAATGGTGTTTTGTATGTTATCTGGCGATATCCTTTCGAAACCCAGAGAGTGTTCAGTTTGATCAGTTTGTTTAAAAAGTGCATCAACTTTTCCCATAACGCTCTAATTTTTCTACCATGCCCTAAAAGAGACCTATGGAGACACCGTGCCAAGTTTCATCCATTTCGGAGCTTGGTTGGATATTTTTTGAAAACGAAAAGCATTTTTCCGCTTTTAATGGCTGGAAATCAGTTAATGCTTTAAAACTAGCAAACCAACTAAAAAATTGTCCAATTTTTAGCATGACTTTACTTATGGACTAATTTAAATCTCATAAAAAAGGGAACCCCAAAATACCCATAAAACAATAAAACACTAGGATGACACTAAAAATGAAAATACAAATAGTGGTAGATCACCACAAGTGCCCGCCACTACAAGCTTATTTCTTTTGTGGCAGGCATTTGTTCGTGCCCGTCACTGCTAACACCCACACAAAGATAATCAAGTGGTTTCCATCCACACTAACTCAAATCACCTCACCCCCAAATTGAAATCCCTTTGGTTGTATCGTCGCCTCGTCCCGACTGTGCCTTCTCTCATGTCATCAGCATGTTGCGCCTATCTGCGCCTCTCGGTACGTCCCTTCCTCGCTCATTCTTTCTCTCGCAACTACAGTTAGGGCGCTGCTGCTGCCAGGTGATTCCTCCTCTAAAGCGTAGTGTTGTGGGTTGGAGAAGAAGAAGTGGTAGTGGCATGTGGCCCAATTGGGAGGCAGGCAATGGCTGAAGATTGATTGTAATTTCTTGTTTTGTGGCGCCACAAGAGTGTTTCTGTGTTTGAGACCCGGTCATGGCAAAGAAAGCGTGCCAAACCCAAAGATCATTTGATGCCGATTCTTGACATGACCCTGATATTGCCCTTGTAAAGCTTTTGGGCAGTTTTTCCATTTCCAATGCATGCACTCAAGACGTACGAGCAAACATGGCAACCCTCTTGCCTCTATGATTCTCAAGAGCCTCTCAGTGTCTAAGCTAATTGGTTTCTTGGGTAATGAGGTCCAAACACCTCGACCATGGGAGTTGCAAACCTGACCATGGCATTTCCCCATGTGCTTTTAGACATCCGTAGGTACTCGTCTCACGAATCAGTGGCCGTGCCATATGCAAGAATCCACAGTGCGACCATCCTTATTGAAGATGAAGTAGTCATCAAAGGACCGGACACCATGGTAGAGACGATCAAAAAATTTATTGCGCATCTAGAAGCGCCTGCAAAAATTATGGGCGAAGATGGCATCGGGGAAAAAGTAGTCGGCCATCAACATCAAATGGCCACGCGCCCTGTTGCGGTTGAGCACTCGATGACCCTTGATTGATCCTTGAAATTGAGAACATGATCTTCCACATGATATGCGTCTGCAAGGACCGCATGCATCATCACCCTCTCATCCGTGTAGTCCTCCTCGTAAGATGACACAACGTACTGCTCCTTTATGTTCTCCATATCGGCATCCATTTCTTCAAAGAAGGGGCAAAAATATTACCACAGACATTTCGCTGAACAGTTGTCGGATATGGTGAGTATTGTAGGAGCGTATTGTTGAGTTGTGTTGTAACATGCTGTTATGCACGCGCATGTAATTAGGATCAAGGGCATGCGTGCCTAATGACTCGGGCTGCGCCCCGGTGTATTTAACCCTGTACTATGTAACACTTAATCGATAACAAAGACAAAATTATATCCTCCAACTTGGCATCAGTTACCGGGCCCTCCTCTTCCGTCGCCATGGTTGACTCTGGCTCCTCCTCCGCTGTCACCAACACTGCAACCTCGCCGGGATCCCTCTCCACCACGACGACTACTCCTGCCACCTCCTCCACGACCTCACCAGCCACCGCCCCGTTTGTCTTCTTCGGCGTGTCTGGCAGCTCCTGCCCCTCTCAGTTCGCCCCACTCTTCTCCTCTTCGGCCCCTACGCCGCCCGCTCCAGCTCCTCGCGAGCCGATCTTCTTCGATCACATCACCAACCACATCAAGTTCCTGCTATGCCCAACCGACCACAACTACCATAAGTGGAAGTCCTTCTTCCTGCTCGTCCTCGTCCGCTACGGCATCACCTTCCTCATCGAGCATCCTCCGCCACCCAACGCCAACACCCAGTACCTTGAGTTGGACGCCCGTGTGGTGCTCTGGATCTACGCACCCTCGCCGGTCGCCTCATCGACCACGTCGTCAGTGCCACAACCACCTATGCCCTCTGGACCAAGATCCAGGAGTTCTTCCTCGCCAATCAGGCTGCGCGGTTCATGGTGCTCAACCGCCAGTACCGCAATCTGAAGCAGGGTGATCTCTCCGTCACCGAGTATGCCCGTCGTCTCAAGCTTCTCACCGACGGCCTCGCCGACATTGACCATGCCGTCAAGGAGCACTACAAAAAAATACACTTCTGTGATGATACGTGTTCGCCACAGTAGGTCGCGTTTTCGGTCATGCATGTACATCCATGACGATTTTGCGAAAGAATCAAGATAGTCATACCTGTGCTGTCGTAGAAGTGTTTTATGACATTACCAAAATTATCATCACGGAAGTGTCCACTTCCATGACGATAAATCACGCGTCACAGAAGTGCTTCCGTCAAGGGTGACCGACACGTGGCATCCACCGTAACGGAACGCTGTTAAGCTATCAGGTCGGGTTTTGGATCCGATAACCCATTAAAAGCCCCGACCAATGGGGATTTTTCACGTGTAAAATCATCATTGGCTGGAGGAAACACGTGTCGGCTCATCGTTGGGATAGATGTCATCCACTCATTGGACAGAAGGCGCCTATAATACGTCGACACGTGGCACGACCCAACAGAGGCCCATTCCTTGAAAAGGCCGGCCCGTTTGACTTGGTCAAAAGGTGGCGGGCCAGCCCATGGAAAGCCGGTTAATGACCTGTTCGCATATAGCCCATTTACAGCCCGCTAACCCAAGGCCCGTTACGCCCTATCCGAATTAGGCCCAGTGGCGTCATTTGGGCCATCCAATATGATTCCAGCCCGTTTTCACTTCTGGCCCATGTATGTCCCATGACGTCTTTCGGCCCATGTGAGGCCT